CCCCCCCTCCCCCCCTCCCTCCCTCCCACGTCTGCAGAAACGTGGGGACGGCGCGCTCAATTACTGACCGCCTAGGGGTAAAGCGCAGCAGCCGAACAGACAACAACAACAACAACAAAAGATTCAGCTGCAGGGGCCGCCTGGCTAGTCTGTTTCGCTTTAGAGGGTTTACGGCTTCTGTAGCTCCGTTCCGGACACCCCCGAGCGGCTCAAAGCCGGAGTCAGCGAGTCATCCAGATCCCCCCCACCCCCTTCCGCTTCCTTCCAGTCGATCTGCAGCGGGTGTGTATATCCCCACCACCACGCACACGCCTCTCTTTTAGGGTCGCAACGTAGCACTGGTTTGGTGGCAGCGGATGTCAAATGTCCAGATGCAGGATTACGCGACAGCTGAGATGAGACGGTTGTACGGTTGTACGTCACCCTGCCTGACGCATTTATGAACCAGTTCCACCCGCGGGCGGCATGTAACCGCGCAGGGCACCGGTGTCGCTGGTGAGGACGCCGATTCCGAGCAGCAGCCCCAGCCAGGTCGGGAACACGAACCCGACATTGGCGACATCGGCGCGGGTGGAGCCCGGGTGGGAGTAGGGGAGCCCCGGGGGGTCTCCAGCGCCAGGCGGTGGCGGCGGCTGATGCTGAGCGTGGCGTGTAAGGGGTGTGTGGACAAGGAGGATCGGATCGAGGAGCTAGGTGAGTATGGTCGGTGTGAATTTGTGGACCTGTTAAGCCGGCGAGGCCGGCTCGTGGTTTGGCCCTTGGCGATTAGGACGCCCGCAGTGGGAGGAGGGGAAATGGAGATTTGTGGGGAACGCATCCTGATCATCACCCTCTTCGTCCCCAGCCCACGTGCACCCATACAACCTCTCGAGCGACCCCCAGCCAAACGGCACCCATTTCCCTTTCCTAAGTGACCCCATCCGTGCGTCTCCTCGCGGCCCTATCGACCTTATCCGACGAGCCCGACGTTAAACTTCCCAACCTTCCCAGCTCCCAGCTCCCACTCGGCCGCGATCCTAATCTCCTAATCCTCCTAATCTTCATTCGGGCCTTCCCTCCCCTCCCTGTCCGGCCCTGTCCGGGGCCCCAGGCCAGCTACTACGCGGGGCCCGAGAGCGGCTGGAGCGAGCCGAGCGGCAGCTGGAGCACTCGCAGGAGAAGATCCGACGCCAGGCGCAGGATCTTACTGTACAAACACAACGATCCGTACAGCTAGACGCTGAGGTCAGCAGGCTCAGCAGGCAGCTGGCGGAGGCTGCGTCGCTGGCTGCACCGCTGAGCCGGCGGCTTGGCGGCGGCGGTAGAGGTGGAAGCATGGGGTACGATCGTCGGGCTGAGGAGATGGAGGAACATTTGAGGAAGGAGGTGAAGGAGGCGCGGGGGGCGGCGGAGGCGGCTGGGATGGCGGCGGAGGCGGCGGAGCGGGAGGCGCGGCGGCTTCGGCGAGACTTGGAAAGGCGCGAGCAGGAGGTGGGGCCACGGCTGGATAAGGGGGGCTGCGTCCTGTCTGATGTGTGATGTGGTAGCATGGAAGCACGCAGGTGTGTGTGTGTGTTGTTTTGGGCGCTTGGTGAGTCTTACCGAGGAAGGAGCCTATCGCCGTGCGTGTGCGCGTGCCTGTGTGTGCGCGCCTGTCTGTTGGTGACAAGTACTCGGGGATGTCGGGTATGAGGGAGGTGATACACGGCGGCTGGGGGAAGGAGAGACATGCAGCTGGGGTCGGCGTGAGCTACCGGGTTGGTTGAGGGGGAGAGATGAGGGGTGGGGGGAATATACGGGGTTGGGGGGAAAACACAGAGGCCATACAACCTGCCGTACGACCTATTACAAACGCGGGAACGGGCGCTGCTGGGGACCACTGGGATAGAGGGCGCGAGGAAAGGGGGAAGCTCCTCCATATGGACGCATGTACCGTAAAGAAATAACAGGTCCCTTGTAACGCAGCCGTTTGCGTTGCCCGTTGCTAGTTGCGCCTTCGCGGTTCTCCTCTGTTTTTAAGTTTTAAGCCACCAGTGTTACATGAAATGAAGCACACGTCTGTGGTGCGTGTGCGCACGCAGGTGTTCGCGCATCGCGAGCGCGCGGAGGAGCTCTCACTGGCGGTGGCTCGGGAGAGGGAGCGGTGCAATGCGGCGGTGGCTGCGGCGACTGAAGCCACCCAGCAGGTGGAGCAGCTGCAGGTGGTGGTCAAGGAGCGAGACGAGCTGCGGAAGCGGGTGGAGGTGAGTGTAATATAAAGGCGGCACCAGGCGAAGAGGCGCCGCTGCCGCTGCGGCAGCTGCGACGTAATTCCTCGAGCCACTCGGTTTAGGGAGAGGGCCCAGAGGGCGTCCGGAAAGGGGTATCCCGGAGAGAGAGGTTGCGCCCGTCTGTGCGCGCATGTGTGTACCACGTACAGCTATATCACCAGCCGCCGGTAATGAGCGGATTATCACAGTCGCACCACTTTGCAATGGCAAAAATACGTTACAAACGTTACAGTCCACATCCTGGAGTGCGGCTGGGATGGTGACCACTCACTACCCGACCTGTCGCGCTGCCTACCTGTCGTACTGCTCTACTTCTGTCGTACGGCCTGCGATCTGTGATGCAGGCGATGGAGAAGGCGAGCCAGGAGGCATGGAGGGCCGCACAGGTAGCTCGGGATGGTCACCTTACCTCCGAAGCAAATGCCGACGTGGTGCAGGCCAAGCTGGTGGCAACGGAGGCTGCCAACCGGCGGCTGGCGCAGCAGGTGCAGGAGGAGAGAGCCGCAGCTGCGCGGGCTGCATTGGAGGCGGAGAGCAGGTTGGAGGAGGGCGAGATGGGGTGCGGTGTTTGGCGCCTTGGGCGGTGATGCTTTTGAACTTGTCAATTGGTGGATCAGAAAGTGCTGGGTGGTAGGCAGGTGCGGTTAGAGCGCGCGCTGTCCCGGGTCTGTTCACGCCGCCAGGGCGCCGCCAGGATGTGCGACTGTTTGTGGAAAGGTGTCGGCAGATGCCCATCCCGACACCGGCGATGAGCTACGTTTGACTGCCAAGTTATCAAGATATCGCGGGTGATGGTTTCTGAGGCCGACAGAGCTTCAACGTGGGAGGGGAAAAAGCGTTGCACCCCTCAAGCTGCCTGACTGTCGAGGGCAGCATATGCCGGCTGTGTTGTGCTGTGCTGTTGTTTTGCAGGCAAAATCAGCTTCAGCTGGAATCTGCCCGGCTACGCGCCGACTTGGCTGCGCTCACGGCCGAGCGGGAGGTGCTGCACGACTTAACGCGCCCGCAGGCGCCCGCAGCTGGCAGATCAGGCGGAGCGTCCACCGGCTCGGGCTATGTGGCGGGGGGGCAGCCGCGAACAGCTGATGCTGTGGCGGATGTGGCAGTACGCAGTGCTTGGGTACCGCCACAAAGGATTTGAATTATGAAACACATGGTTGTGTCGTTCCCTGCGAGATCGCAACTATGAGAGCACGGGAGCTGCGAACACTGGGAACATGCAACGAGGAAGGCGCTCGCGGGCAAATATTTCCCATTCGTTGCCTATATAAATCCTGAAGTCCATCACCGAAGCGGAACACAATTATGATAAACATGCTCATACTGCACAAGAGAAGGCAAGGGATTGGCGGATCGCTAGTCCGTGCATGTGCGATTTTGGATCCAAAGCATCCGAAGCATGGCCATACAAGTTGCAGTGCGCGTCATAGCGCGGTGTTATCATCTTCTCATGCTTTGTTTGTTTTCACATAGCTTACATGCGACTCTATCACATAACCGAAAAAGTTGAGCAGCAAACGAGAAGACCCTCATAATCCTTGAACCAGACAGCTTAAATAACACCTACTTCAGAATAAGTCACCTCCAAGATGGCCGCAGAAATGGAAGAAATGGAACATCAAGGCATGGTAGAGGGCCAGGAGGAGATTACGGGACCAATGCTTGTAGAGGTCCTTCAGGTGACCATACGGCCCATTCACTGCTGCGTAGGCGTTGTTTCATTGTAGCGATATGTGTTCATAATTTGGAATTTTTCGCTTTGTGTGCAGCAACACGGCGTCGCTGCGGCAGACATTAAAAAGCTTAAAGAGGGTGGCGTCCACACAGTAGAGCACCTAGCTCACGCCCCAAAGAAGCAGCTAGCGGAGATAAAGGGGCTGAGCGAAGCTAAGATCGACAAAATGCAGGCTGTCGGTGCGTTGTTTACACGGCATGTAGAGGTCATATATCAGTATCGTTACTAACATCATCCTCGCAACGGGATGCAGCATTCAAAATCATTCCTATGGGATTCACTACGGCAGCTATTGTTGCAGAGCAGCGGAAAGAGGTGCGTCACATTCCACGAACTGTGCCATACCGCTTCCCCCTCAACCCCTAACCCCGCTATCATACGCTAAAACACCCTATGCTAACGCGTCTCCTAGGTTATCAATATCACAACTGGATGCAAGGAGCTGGATTCAATCCTGGAGGGTACGACTGGGGGAAGAAGGAAAGCTGGGATGTCACGGAGGAGGAAGGGCACCAGGGTTTGAGATGAACTGCACGTATATCACGTGCGAAAACTCTGGATACTGCAGGAGGTATTGAGACTGGCAGCATCACGGAGATTTACGGGGAGTACCGATGCGGGAAGACGCAACTATGTCACACGCTATGCGTTACTTGCCAGGTATGCAAAGTTGTTTCAGTATTGAGGGAAGAACGACTGCCTTCCGAAATTCGAGACCCATCTTATCTGCTCGCTCATATGACGTTTACCACCCTGCTCGTCCATCCATGAATGCAGCTTCCTGTGGACATGGGCGGTGGAGAGGGCAAGGCGATGTACATCGACACGGAGGGCACCTTCCGTCCACAGCGCTTGATACAAATCGCCGAGAAGTGAGCACTTGCACCTGCACGCCGGAAATATGCCACAAACTCACACGCTACTTGCGCTCTCCTTGTCGCGAAAAGAAGACTGCAGACTGCTTTCCTTAGAATGCCTAAGTCGCTCTGCCCCGCTGCTTTAAAAGCCATTGATACGAAAGGTGTTCCGAGGTCAACGGCCTCAGCGGCGCGCGTGTGAACGGTTTCTGCAACCATCATTCCCGCAGAATCCCGACTTCCTTACATCACCATTACATTTTAAAACAGGTACGGGCTGAGCGCCGAAGACGTGCTGAACAACGTGGCGTATGCCCGGGCGCACAACACCGAGCACCAGATGCGGCTGCTGCAGGACGCCGCCTCCATGTTGGCAGACAGCCGGTTCGCGCTGCTGATCGTGGACAGCGCCACGGCCCTCTATCGCACCGAGTACAATGGGCGGGGAGAGCTCAGCGTTCGGCAAATCCACCTAGGAAGGTGAGGTGAGGTGAGGTAATAATATATTATTAGGGTTTCTAATACATGGCCCGAGCTCGAGGCGCCGCGTGCTGCCGCATGCTGGAACTTGCCAGCTTTACGATGAGGCCCGCTTGGCCCGCTCCCAGGGATGACTAAGTTAGGAGATCCACGGCGTGAACCATTATGGCCTGGCAACTGGTTTGTTTCCGCTCTGTGTCTGTCTCCGAACCGGAGGCGGGGGTCTTGTCTACCAAAGTTGGGACTGTGCTGGTGCGCAGGTTCCTGCGGGCGTTGCAATGCATCGCGGACGAGTACGGCGTTGCAGTGGTTGTAACAAACCAGGTGAGCGGCAGCAAGAGTAGTAGTAGCAATCTGCGGTGCCAAGCAGTGAGGGGGCGGGTTTGTCCGGGGGAACTGCATCATTTTTGCCTTAAAAAGGCCGTCACACTTAACAGTGATTGGCTACATCCTATTGGACATCACCGCTAGTTTTGTTAAGAGCAGGCTGGAGATACAAATGCATATGCACGGTACAAATCTATGCACGGTGTCGCGCTTATAGCTTGCGCATGGAACAACACTTTTGGGTTGTGTGTATGTGTGTGTGCCTGCATGTCATCGGTAGGCCAAACCAATCGTCCGTTCCATCTATAATCTTTTTCGCGTCTTTGGGTGACCGCGTTACGAGTTATGCTCGGTCAACCGCCCCCCCGCGGTGTGCACCGGTACACGGTGCGAGGCTGTGCCCAGCTACGAGGTCTCTGCTCGCATATTAAAAAATCAAAGCGAGGGCAGGGACCTTATCTGTTTTTTTTACCGAGACTTCGGGATTTCGCAATGCAGTGTTTCACTTCCAGGAATGTCCGCTGGGGCACTCCTATTGAGCGCATCGAGGACGTTGCAAGTCGTTGGAAGGCAGTTGCTGTCGCAAATTCTGGCATAGCTTAAATTTGCCCCGACACCAGTTCCATGTATTCCACGTTTTGGATTGTGTGGACCGTCGCATTTTTCCGGTTGTTGGCATGCTGTTTCAAAACTGTCCGCAGCTGCTGGACTGTCCGTAGCTCTTTCCTAGTCTAGGTACGGGCAGAACCTGCGCATGGCGGTAATCAGTCAGCATGACCTATTTGTCCATTATTAATTTTGGTTACATATCAGCCAAAAGAATCTGCGACATTAAGTAACTTGAGAGCATATATCTGATCCGCGGGTGCTACTACACTTGATCAGCTGATCTCATATCCTTCGACGGTTGGCGGAGGAACATTGCTGGCACTCGATCCATGTGCAGCCCACCTTCCAAGTATTTATAACGCGCCTTTTTTCCGAAACAAGGGAGGAATGAAAGAAACGGGCTATGAATCGCTCCAGCTGGCTCCGGTCGTGCTTCATTTCTAAGAAATAATGTGGATGGATGCTTTTCTTCCCCGTTCGCATTTTCCCTTGCTATAGGTGGTTGCTGCGAACCTGGACGGTGCCGGTGGTGGTATGTTCGCCGGCCCGCAAGTGAAGCCCATCGGCGGCAACATCATGGCCCACGCAACTACCACCCGGTTGTCGCTCCGAAAGGGACGCGGCGAGAACCGCGTCGTCAAGATCATCGCGTCGCCGTCGTTGCCGGAGCGGGAGGCGCAGTTCTCCATCGCCGCCGAGGGCGTCACGGACGCGAAGGATTAGGTCGCTCACTGCCCCTCCCTTGGCAGAGTTTTGCGTGTGACGACGTGCATCATCGCTGGGAGGGATACGCATGTTACAGGAGCGACTTTTCGGAAGAGCGTTGACAGCTTGCAACGCATCGCTCGAGGGCGCGTGCTGAATTTTATTGCCAGGCGTGCAAAGGCTTAGGGCAGAGAGAGCCAGCCTGCTGACGAGGACGTGCTATGTACAATTATTAGATTTCATTGCGGCGCTCTTTCCTTGTCCAGGCCTAGCTCTTGCCTGCCAGCTGTGTATTTCATTTTCGATGGCCGGGCCCACTGCGCCAAGGCCAAGAGGAGACACGACCCATTCGGACCATGACTATTATGTGCGGAAATTGTACATGGCTCATACCGCACAAGGTTGTGTGCGAAAAGCCTGCGACAAGTCTTCGTGTACGATGCCGGTTTACGGTTGAGGGATTGTGCTTCCTTCCTTTATAGCTTCTTTTCAGCTTCTTTTAATAAAAAGTGTGGGGACGCATCCACGACGAAGCAAGAAACCTAAGAATGGAATGAATGGCCCTGGTACAGGGAATCCTAAAGGACCGTCAGTAAGTTTAATGTTCCGTGTGACATATGCGCCATAAAGACTTAAAAATGTGGAGTATTAATGAGTCGCTCCAGTGGAATCACCCAACAGTGCAATCACTAAACAGAAGTCTGCGATCGGGCTCAAAGATGTCGTGGGGGATGCCACTGGAGTTTTTAAAAAGGTGCACGTGGTGTTTGGTGAGACCAGGTCGACCCCTGCATGCTTTTCCCAGGGCCACGAACGGAGTTTCAGGTCTCAAACCGATAACTTCTTGAATCCATGCAAGAAGTACAGGCCTACACGCATCCTCGTGCTCTGTGTGCATAATATAATGAATGGACAAATGTGGACGTGTCACAAGCACACAGAGACACACACATACACGCGTGTGTGTGTGTGTGTGTGTGTGTGTGTGCTTTTGTAAAGTTGCGCACGTGACATCTCCATTTACCGAACTCGTCGCGGTTCAGTCCCTACTAAAACACAAGTGCAGTCGCGGACCGGCATGTGTCGTGTTATGAAGTCTCCTAACAATAACTGTGGCAGTCTACAAGTAGTATCCAAAAAGCCGAGTGGAAAACCAAACAAAGCCAGGGTGGAAAAACTGAGTCCAAAGCCGAGTTGAAAACCTGACAACATATCACATACTGGCGCGCGGGTCGGGTAAGATGTCCAACAGGCAGAAAGTCACAGTCCAAGGCAATGAGCAACGCAGTAAGAGGTGGAATCATGCAAACAGATGACGTCTTCTCCTTCTTTCAGAAGATAAGGGGTAAACAAAAGATAAACCGTAAAATAAACGAATTGAAATCATTATTGTCGCAATTTCATCTGTTTGTTTAGATCCCTGCCAGTAGTGAGGTCAAAAGGGCGCCAAAACGGCATCAGCTCAAATTTTAAAATCGCACCTGCTGATCAGCTCGCGATTCAGCAACCGCGGAGCAGCGCACCTCAACATCTCAACATCTCAACCTCACAACAACCTAAAGATGTGCCAACGCCATCGTGACACTGCTCGCGACAACTTCATGCAGGCCAAGGCATGTGCGCGCGGAGCGCCTCTTCGCCCCTTCCCTCCCCTTCCCCGCTTTCTCAACCCAACTCGCAAATAAGTAAGGCCAGGACGGTCATCGTCCCGCGCTCCTTGGCTTTCGCGCGCGTGTGGCTCGGCACAGCACCTTGAGGCTACGTACACACAGCGCGTTCCTCTACAGGTCCCTAGCAGGGCCCCCCCCTCCACCACCACCACCACCACCGCAACCATCCCCGCCTCAGGAACCTTGTACCTTCATTCGTTTCCCCTCAGAACCAGGAAAGGGAAGCCGACCCTAAAAGGCAAAGTGCTTGTGCGAGGCGGGGGAAACCCTGGGGTTGTCACGTAGCTCGGAGCCTCCCCCCCCCCTCGCACTCCCCACCTCATCCCAATAGCTATCTATGTTCAGCTACATACCCACCTCAGTTGGTCAGTGAGGTACTTCCGCACCCAGGGGGCTCATCTTCCGGTCGGGACATACCTCTTGAGAGAAGATCCCCCCGGAGTCGTACGGCGGTCTTCCGTTTTCATTTCCATGTCTTTGTGTGTGTGTGTGTGTATATATCGATGTGTGCGAATGTGTGAGTGTGTGTTTGTGCGTGTGTATGTATGTAATGTGTGCGTTCATGTGTGTATGTATGTATGTCTCTTTGCAGGGGGAGAACCTTATGAAAGAAGCTGAATGAATAAACTTGCCGGCGCTGATGTACGGCAGGAGGGGATCCGGATCATGCACGAAGTCAAACGAAGGGGAGACTAACTGCCCCGACAGCCCGAGGAGGCAGCACCAGCTGCCGAAGCAACAACGACGCGACACCCCCAGGGAATGCGCACAAGCAGTGTGTTCAGTATATCCGTATATCCGTAGTCCGTTCTCCCGGGCACCTGGGTGTCCAGCGTTGTGATAAAAAAATATTTTTTTTATCAAAATTATTCGCGTACTATTTGTAACCTCGCAGTGGAGGTTGGGGAGTGGGGAGGGGGATTGGGAGCTGTAGAACCGCCCCGTGTTCCCTTGCCCTCCTAAACACGCGCGCCGTGTGTTTAGGTTGGGGGATTTTAGTGATGCATGGTGCGCTCCAGAGCCGCCACGTAATGGCTGAGTAGGTGGTCTCGGAGCATGCTCCGTTTGAGCAGTACCCGATTGACATGGGAGCGACTCACGTTGCGCAGTAGCCGGAAGGCGGCAGTGGCGTCCGCACCTGTCACACGCACGAGAGGGGAGAGGGGGGGACAGTGAGCTGGGTAGGTGGTGGAAGTGGGTGGTGGGGTGGTGGGGTTGGGGTGGGGTTGGGGGTAAAAGTAACCGGGGAGTGTGCATGGCAGTTGGGATTTTGCGGTGTGGCACCCAGGCGGGGCGGGGCGGGGCGGGTGGCACATACGGGACAGGCAGTCCAGCGGTGGAGCGGGGGGGAGAGGTGCGCGCGCAAACAAACAGAGGACGGTCAGGAGTGTACGAAACA